CCACCTCATACCCTTCCTCAACTTCTCCCCCTCCCCCACTTTAAACTTCCTCAACTCTTCCCTAAACAATATTATCACAAGACACCAATGATTATACTTATTCCTTATCTATGATGTATCTTCTTGTCATATATATATATATAGATAAACACACAAATAAACCCAAAGATAGACAAACATTAGGGGGAAACCTGTTTTAATAGCTCAGCTCACACCTTGGAGTATGCTAATCTCCAAGCAGATATTGAGGTGGTGAATTGTAACATTTTCTGACTGCCAGGCTGTTTAAGGTACCTTACAGCCAGATTTCTTTGACAACAGATGTTGAGATAAACAAACTGTGTGTCAGATAGGCACATTGATCAGAAAATGTTACAATCTTCCATGCTTCACAGACATTTGTCAAAGCCATAAACCCTTACACAAAATGTACCAAAACCTGTAATATATAATAAATTGTTATATAGTACAGTTATAAAAAATATTTAAAAGCATGTTGTGCGATAAGTACAGAATTCGGGTAATACAAACATGAACCACAATGGAAAAATTGATAAAAAAATATGTACAATGTCCAATAGAATTCATCAGCTCCAATAGCCCTTATTTTGCACTGTTTACATTCCTAAGGAATATGGATGTACATAATACTAGAAAGGTAACATTTTCAAAGCAACTGCATCATGTTTACCTTCGCATATGGTCTGCTGTTAATTCATACTCAAACACATTCATATATATGTGGTGACAGGAGTCTAAATCCCTCCTGCTATAAAATTGCAACATGATGTAACACTAGTTACCTTGGTGACAGACATCTGGTTCAGGTCATTGACCTTGTTTGGAAACGAAACAGAGCAAAAACCATATGTTTTCTTTCATGGTAAACATACTGTAACTAGTATTCCCCAATGACCAGGACAGGTCGAGGGATAGGTAACAAAAAAGCATAGGGTAAACCTTTTTTGACTTTCTATACTATATGTAAAATGCACATTTCTCTTGATTTAGCCGGAAATGCCTATCCCTGTTCATGCCTATACTGAGTGGGTACAGAATTCACTATTCACAGTTAGACTTCAGTCTGATTGTCTTTCACATTGAATTGCTACACTGTACAATGGTATTAAACCTCTACGTCTTTGCTACAATGAAACTTGCAAGATATCACATACAAAGTCCCTGAGATCTTGAATCAGTTCGGTAGCCAACCAACTACTTGTATGTTTGAATGCCTGCTGTATCGCATGCAATTAAATACAGCAGCTCTTTGGCAAGAATTCAAGGAAGGTACATGTATATGAAACCATCATACAGTTTGTAACCTGCCCATGTCACCGATCTTGTGCCCTTGGGATATCATGAACCCAGGTAGGCTTATAGCACAAGAAAATGTGTAAAACAATGTTTAAAACAGTGAAAATCTTACATGACAATGTCCAAGTCTAGCTTTAAAGTTTTGAAGGCAACTTCGGTGCAGGTTTTCCGTTCAAAACAACGAGAGGGCGTTCAAAGAGGGGTTTGCGAAAGATTGTGCCATTTTCCTGCAATACCTCCTCAACCCCCTTACATACCCTCTCAATGTAGTAGTAGGGGACCCTTTTGTGGATGGGTAGGTACACCACATGGTCTATGATGAACCTGGCTTCCTCTGGGTAATGTGTGAGCTGGTCACTGAGCTGATGGGAGGTCTCTGGTTCCGGTTCGATCACGTTGAGCTGTGTGGCACCGCGGTAGGCGTTGATGCCCCTCTTACAGAGAGAACTGATCACTGCATCAGGATTCTCCTGTAAAACAAATGGATAACACATACAGTTATTGCTGTATACATAAACCTACTTGTATGTTCAGGTCCAGGTCTGGATTTAAATCTAGAGGTTCAGGTTCAGGTCCAGACTTGTAAGTTGTTGTAATACCTGAACCTAAACCTCGGGACTTGAACCCAGGGCATATATACAAAATACGGAAGGGACTTCTCAGTGAACATTTCCCAATGGAAAATGGGGCATCTTTGCCACAAAATTTTGTAGCAAGCACTACACTACCTGAGTTTAGAAGATGTTGTTTGCGGGGCATGTCTGGGCAAAACTGTGGCCACATAATTTACGGAGGCTGACACTTTACAATTCCCAGTTGAAATGTGTTTTTTTTTTCATTTTGCAGTGCAAATTTTTCAAGATTTCAGGTGGTTTAGAACAAAAAAAGGCTTAGTTCCAGACATTCAGGTTTTTGGGGGCTTAAACCTAAACATTTTAAAAAGTCCAGAACTAGTTCCAGTGAGCAGATAGACAGCACTACATACAGTAGTTAACTGTACTTTTAAAACATGTATGGTCAAGATTTGTGACTTCTGTATCAGTGCTTGTTGGATGTGGGCCATGTGCTAGCCTGGAGTCCAGCCTTGTTAGATTTAGTTCACTTCCCAAGATCCGCTACCCCACAAATGTGTTAGTGGACCAAGGCTGGACTCCAGGCTATCATGTGCCTGGATTACAAATATGTACTTCAAACGATTTGACATTACAGCAAATGACAAAACACTTAACAGGGCTAAAAATACTGGGTGCATGTGCACCCTAGTGCACCCAAATATGAAGCTGTGCACCCAATTTTTTTCTGTGAATGACCCAGTGCACCTATCCCCCAAAATAAATTTCGAGCCCTGCTAAAGTACATGTAACAACCTACCACAAGTATGGGAAAAAGCCAATAGTTCCTGTTGTAAGCCTTGTCGCCTACTTTCAACATGGAGGAGTTCTTTAGCAGCATGTCTGCGTGGCGTCCTTTCTCCACGCCGACTTGGAATTCCTTCTGGCGAAACCCTATACACCTGTGGACCAGCAGGGACAACAGTCCTGCGCTGGGCTGCTGACGGATCTTCTGAAAAAACTGGTCAGGGAAACCTCTTAGGAGGGAGATCCACATCCTCTGGTGGTCGATACCAAGTACATTTTGCAGCAGAAAGGGGCCATAGCCCGTCAGAAACGGCCAGTTCAGACCTACAGTAGCAACTGAGTACTTGAGCAGTTTTTTTAGGTACTCTACGGAAGACTGAGTGGGGTACTGCGAGTAAGCTTCGCTCATTGCTGTGAAAAGCTGGCTGTCTTTGATTTTCAGGATGGAGCCGCCGAACGCAGTGGAAGGCTTGATGACACCGAAACTGAAGAAAGAAATGTCCGAATGCGGATTCCCGATGTTATCGAACCCGCTGAATCCCTCTGCACAGTCCTCAAGCACGTACAGATTGTGTCGTCTTCCTACTTCAATCACTTCACTCATGTCAAACCATTTACCATACAGGTGGGCTACGAGTACAGCTACAGTTCTCTCCGTGATGAGACCTTCTAAAAGCTCGACTTTTGGCGAAAGCGTCTCTAAGTAGACGTCAATGGGAACGACGCGTAAACCGTGATGCCTGACGACTCGCGCCATGTCGGGTATATTGATCGCGGACATGATGACTTCCGAGCCCGGCGGGAATTTCTGAACCGCCAGGAACAGGTCCAAACCAGTTCGGACAGAGAGGCAGGGCAGGACGTGGTTTGGGTTCTGGGTAGTTGTCCATATCTTCTGGAGACGGCGGATGTTCAGTTGTCGGTCGGGTGAGCTGACGGTACAGTCTCTGATACCTGACAGGATATCTCGCCACGAGGCATCTACAGGTGCGATAAAATAAACCACAATTAAGATACAGCAGTAGTTTACCTTTCACTGATCGCATGAATTGCATGTGTCACAGGGGGGACATTTTGAATAGAACACCGTTCTAAAACAGACTTTCACTTGCGTTGTCGCAAATAAATAACAATACAGTTGATCAACAGAAGCCTGAACAGCAAATAGAACAAATAAAATGATAAAACTCAAGTGAGGACGTAGCAAAAGAGTGCTAGTGCTCGAAGACAACTCGTTAGTACTAGTAGTCTATACAAGTTTTGTTGCTAGCACATGAACATGCACGAAGATACTTAAATTATCTACTGGAATTTGTGCACATCAAATTCTGCCATATTTATTCATCATAGATGGCCAGACTCCTGATGATATAATAAATTTTACCATAAAATCAAGTCAGTTGGACCTTAACTGTTCCAAA